AAAATTCTTTCTTAAGTTGCACATATTTGAGTATGAATGTGTTCATCCTAGTGTGAAGGGAATCCTCTTTTCATCCGTTGTATTGTCTCTACTTCCAGGAGTTGCCCTGCAGTTTTATCAGAATTGCTTAGAGTGATCAATATCACACTGACTCTGACAAAAGTTATGGCTGCACATTGATGACACGGTTAGTTGATAACTTGTGTCTGTAGTTGGGTTGGATTTGCATAAGAAGTTTGTTCCTATGGATAAACATGATTGTTTGAATGAATATTCTAAACCAAGGATAATTTCAAAGAAGACACAAATGAACATTTTAAAAACCATTTGAGTCTATTTTGTCAACTTTAAAGAAATAATTTACCCAAGGCTAGTTTTAAACACATTGTTGACCGGAATGTATCAACTCTTCCAGTAAATGTTCCCATTTAAAGAAAAACTAGTTAAAGGTTATATATCATATGCTGGGAAAAATGAAACAGTACATCATTTCAGTATGTATTATATTTCATGGCTCTGATTGTGCTATTAGTTTACAAAGTAAATGCAGCTAATCATGTATAATGAATGTAACAGTGCAAAATGCACTCTGTGGAAACTTGGTGTCAGAGAATGAAACTTCTAATACTTCAGTGGAGATGCAGCATCTTTGTCTTTAAAGAGTTTTGAAAAATCTGAAGTAAATGCTTTACATTTTTCTTGTTTTTATCTTAGGAAGGGTCACACCGTTGGCTTACAAATGTATGTGTACTGCCAAAATCTGCCATTAGTAGATTTTGGAGGCGGGTAATTTCTTTTGGAGTTAGTGGAACAGTGTGAGGATAACAGGGTGCAGCATTTGGCCTTGAGTAAAACCCATGTTTCCTGATGGACTGAGTTTTGAGTATCACTGTCTTCATGATTGTAAGTTTACCCTTGAGGATCAAAAATAGCTCAGGTTAGAGCACGTGCTTTCCTCCCGTATATGCACAATCAGCTGCATAGATTGTGTTCTCTTGTTCACTCAAGTTCACATTTCCGTGTTATTTTGGAGTCGTCCCTTTCCCCTTCACCATAAGAGATTCCACTGCTCTGTCTCCACCACCGTAAGATCTGTTCCCTTCATGCTGGGTCTGGTTTGTATCATGACATTTCTGCTCCACCCCGCATTACCAGGCAAACCACCTTGCACACGTTGTTGTTGTTTAGGCGCTAAGTTGTGCCTTTGACTCTTTTCCACCCCATGGACTGTAGTCCACTAAACTCCCCTGTACATGAGATTTCCCAGGCAAGTATACTGGAGTGGATTGTCATCTCCTTCTACAGGGGATTTTCCCAACCCAGGGATTGAACCCACTTCTCCTGCTTGGCAGGTGGATTCTTAACCACTGAGCTACGTGGGAAGCCCCCCACTACCCCATGACTGTGGGGTTAATTTTCCTTTGCTTGTCTCTTCTACTCCTCACTTATCTTCTTGGGCTTCTAGTTGCTGCCAAACACCTAGGCTGGGTATTTTGAAAACCTTCCATCATCTGGCACGTACTTAACTTTTCCAGTCTCAGCTCCCACTACTCAACAACAAATGTCCCTCTGCTTCAGATAGGTCAGATTTTGGGCCCTTCTCCAAACACCTGCATACTATGCGTTTCAGTGCCCCACCTTTGCCCATTTTGTGCCCTCCTGCCTGGAACACGTTTCCTCCTCTTTCCTGAAGAAACAGTCCACTATTTAAAACTCACCACAGTGGCTTCCCCTTTCACAGTGATTTCCTGGACCATACCTTTTAGAATTGATTCCCTCTTGGTTTGGATCTTTTGGTGCTCTATTAGAATTAAGGTCTTTTGGAGTGGGGTTTGGGTTTCCCAGGTGGCCCAGAGGGTAAAGAATCCACCTGCAGTGCAGGAGATGTGGGTTCAATTCCTGGGTCGGGAAGATCCTCTGGAAGAGGGCATGGCAACCCACTCTAGTGTTCTTGCCTGGAGAATCCCCATGGACAGAGGAGTCTGGCAGGCTACAGTACATAGGGTCGCAAAGAATCAGACAGGACTGAAGTATCTGAGTACGCATGCACCCACAGAATGGGGTTTACCTCTTTAAATTCAGAGCAATTTTATGAAAGCGACCAGGTACAAGGCATTATTCTAAACACCCTTTGGCTCTGAAGCTGTTCCATGCCATGCATCTTGTAGATGTTCTACGAACAGTTTTGGCTCTGGATTTCTAATGATGAGCATGAGAGAACATATAGATTAGTATAAAATTAAGACAAGCAACTATAAATGCAGTTAATAGCTTTTTATCTCAAAAATTTCTCAAGAAAGGTCTTCATAGTTTAACAAGCACAGAAAAATTACAAGTGATTGTAACTGTGCTCATGTACTTGATTGTGGAGATAATGTACATCTCAAGAAGGAAATAGGAAGGGGGACATATAAAGACTATATATACACACATATATGTAAATATACATGCGTCTCCTGTGTATACACCTAGACTTCAAAACACTGTAACTTGTATACTTTTATCATCTTTTAGTACTAGATTCTATTTATAGTTACTTTTGGCACTATTCATTTAAATCATAATTCCTTTCATTTGTGGATCATTATGAATTAAAATCTGACCTTGAACATTAAAATGTTTAAATATCATGTTTATTTTTTAAGAAATTTCCCTTGCTATTTAAAAAAGAGACATTTCTCAGTTTTATTTTAAATCACTTATGAGACCTATATCCTTACTGTGTGAGATAAAGTGTGAATTGTGATTTTGACCCCTTTTTTTTCTGTGTTCACCAAAAGAAAAGCATTCTCTTTATATTTTGAGATAACCAAAGAGGTTATCTTAAAATTACTCTTTTAAATGGGTGTTCAGCAAGAACCACTGTGGGATTTTCCTAATGAAATTTATGAAGTAGTTAATATATTCATTTAAAAATGATTTCTTGGTGGTTATGATTTTTACTTATTCTTTTATTTATTTATTTGGCTGCACTGGGTCTTAGTTGAGGCATCGGAGATCTTTAGTGGTGGCATGTAGGATCTAGTTCCCTGACCAGGGGTTGAACTCAAGCCCCCTGCATTGGAAATGCAGAGTCTGAGACACTGGACCACCAGGGAAGTCCCTTACTTATTCTTTAGAAGTGAAACTTTGTGGTAAAATATACATTTTAAACTAATGCTAATTATCTTTTTTGAAAGATGAGCATTTCTTCACAAAACAGGTGCCCTAAGAAACAGGATTTTATAGAGCTTGTTTAATCAACATTTTCACTTATTTGTCTCCTAACATGTACGTTTTAAAAAAGCAGCATCATGGGAAATGAATGGTAAGCTTAGGTTGAGATCTATTAATCTTTCAGCAAAAAAGTTTAAAATTGGTAACACCTTATTAGAAAAATAATATTTAAAAACCTGCAACATACATTTGTTTATAAATTATTTTAAGATATACAGCAATAGAATAAAAGCTAAGCTAATAAAATGCATTTTGTTTCCTTAAAAAAATATGTTTTGTTTCCTTACACTGTGTCTGAGTTGAAGAGGTAACAGAAAGGTTATGTCATGGACATGGAGGAGACAGGAAAGGCTAATTGCATAGCGAAGTCAGATGGCCTGGATTCAGATTTCAGCTCACCATGACCCTGGGCAAATTACCCCCTGTGCCTCAGTTTCCTCATCTGTGAAATGGGAATAATAATGCTATTTTCCTCAAAGAGTTATTTGGAAAATTAAATGAGTTAATAAAACTTATAGTTTTCCAGTACTTTTCAATAAATTTAAGTTATTCTTTCTCTATTACTATGCCTTAAATATATTTATCATTTATTTTATTCTTTGTTGCACATGAAGTTCTTAGATGAAGATCCTCTGTAAAATCAAATTCATAGATCATAGGAAAGATTAGGGACATATTTCGTGGCTGGGTATTCTAAGAAGACATAATTTGAGCTCAAGCCAATAGTTTAGTATGGAATTTATATTTCAGTCCCTCCGTTATCACTCAGCAGTGCGCTGTCTTATAGAATTATTACTAAGAAAGCCAAGAAATCACCCACCGCATAGATGGTTCCCTGGTTTCTATATTTTCAGTTGGAGATAAAGTATGTTTATACATAGAGTTTGGGTGTCTCTTTTATAGCCAACTATGCTTGGTAATGTATGTAAGGGAGACTTCCTCCTTCAAGGAGGGATATATTATTAAATTTATCACTCTATTTATTCCTTTAGATGTTTTGTTTTACTAACCTAGTAACAGATAAAAATGAAAAGACTGAAAAGGTCATTTTACACTACCTTCAACCTCACCAAATACAAGTGAATTCTTGCTATTCATTGCCCTTAATCCTAGTCATTCTTCTTAAACATGACAAGAAAGTATATTCCAAGGCAAAAAAACAGCGTTCCATCATAAAGATGTACGAGTATGTTAGGGGCTGCTTATTATTATATGTATTTAACTTAACCAAAAATATATGAAGCACTCTTATAAGTAGACAGGTTTCTTAGTAACTTTAGTGCCAACAAACCTTATGCAGGGTACTTACAGTTTAGACCTATCCATTTAACTTTATTTTTTGTGATCAAAAGGATGAGTTTCTAAAAGATAAAGCAAACTGAATTCCAGAATGATCATTCTCTAATGAAGACCTTGTTTTAGAAAGAAAGAAAAAAGAAAGGAAGGAAAGAAAAGGAAGAAAATAATAAAAGAAATTTCCTAGCTTTTTAGAATCCATTATAAAGATTCTAGAGCAAAAATATGGGAACCTCAGGAAAATATACTGGATCATGTTCTTCTTTTCCCTTAAATGGTCAGTCCTACTTTCTAGCTATTCAGAGAGGAGACAAGGCTGCAGGCAGAATACAGCTTTCCTCATGGTGGCAGCTAAGGCAGTGCAATTTCAAAGGCTAGGCAGCGAGTTGTGTAAGAACTTAGAATTAGGAAAGTCCAACATGAATTAGGCAGCTCTAGTTGGCTTTTGACCAGTTGATTGCAGAACTTGAGAAACTCCCAGCAAAGAGATGAAGAAACACAATATTAACCAGCACTCCAGTCCCCGAGAGCTTTGTTTAAGCCACAGCAGCACTGAAAAGTCAAGAGAAGGTTGGTGTTGTGTTTCCTTTTTGGGAAATAGTGTCAACGTGCATAATATTGTGTGATTTATGTATTCCCGAGGTCTGTGAAAGACAGACTTTAAAAAGAATTTTTAAAGCTATTGTGGAATTTATCTCAAGTGGTCTGACTTTCATTGAGCCCTTAAGGTTTAGGGACTTTTTTGTTTTTGCTTAAATGCTGTCATCCATCACCTTCACCAAAACATAGATGAGGATGATTTTTGCTCCGCTGGCCAAAGACCTTCTATGTCTACGCTTGAAAGTAGTCTATTTTTGCTTTTTCAATAATTGTAATTGCAATCTTTCAGTCTTTCCAAGTTACTTTGAAGTAGTGAATTATCTGTCACTTATCTCTGTAAGGAAACGGTGGAAGAAAGCCATGAAATGGACATATCAGAGTTGGCCAAATGCATTCTTTAAAAAATAATTTGCTACAGATTTAAAACCAAAAGACAATTTGATTGAAAACAGTAGACTACTGACATCACCAAGACAATCAAGTTACTGCCAACTTGCCTTGTTTATCTAAAAGATCTTTGCAAAATAAGGTCCCCCCCTCCCCAACCCTGACATACACATGAGTCATAGACAATACAGTAATAGGGATAAATGAACTTTATTTTTCTTTATATCTCTTTAATACACTTATGTCTTCAGTAACTCATTTTAGGGCCTGCTTCTTTGACTGAGGCACCACAGCACAACAGGAAAGGAAGAAGCATTGCTGAGTTCATAATGCTATTTCAGTGTCGCAGCATAAGTACCTGAGGAAATGACACCCCGGTCCTGTATTTGGAGCCTTGCAGTTACTGTGACGACAACACACACTAAAGGAAAACAAAGATGGTCTGCCTGCCAGCACAAGCCGGGAAGACTTTTGCCAGCTCAGATTTTTCCTAATTATTCTATAAGTCTTGAAATGTGACACTGGAGATATTCAAGGCTCTTTGTGTTTCATTAACTGTTTAGTGAGTGACACATGCTTCAAGAGCAGCCTGGAATTTGGATGAGGGAGTGGCCTTTACACACAAGCTTGACTTTCACATGCTGTCTTGATAGAGCTCATCCTCTGGTTTGGACACCACCAGGCCAGTTGCTTGGGTCCCAGCCTGTTGTTTGGCCCTCAAGGAAGCCAGCTGCTTTGGTAGAATTCACTCCTCGGGGGCCCCTCAACTTTGGTGACAAATCCCCACCTTCCATGTTCTGTTCATTCCATAGATAGTTGCCCAGAATGCCAGGTGTTCCAACTAATGACTGGGTCATCTGAATCCCAATTGTTTTATAGTGATAGAAAAGATAATATAATGATAATAGGTACTTTTTAATACAGCTTATCTACATAATGTTTTATTAGAGCTGTGCAAAACTGTTTAGTATACATAAGTGATGATAATAATAGCAGACACTGGAGATTATTCTGTGCCAGGCATTTTGGATGATTTTATTTACTTCTCAAAACAATTTGATGAGGCACTATTTTTATCTCTTGTTTTGTGGATTAGAAAAATTAGGTTTATAGATGACAAGTAACTGGGCGGTAGATTTGAGATTCAAACCTGAGCAATTTGCCTTTATTTAGTTGTAAAGGAGGCAGTTGTTCAAGGAGGACCTCTACTTCAATGACTGTGAGGCTGGAGCCGTTTACCTAAGACTGGGACTTGAACCCAGCCCAAAACGCACAGTAATGAAGCTCGGGTTCTTGATGTCTTATCACAGAAAGAATTCAGTGAGAAACAAAGTGATAGGTAAGAAGTAGATTTATTCAGAGAGAAACACACTCCACAGGCCGAGTGTGGGCCATTGCAGAGGGCAAGTACAAGGCTGTGAAATGTGATGTGGTTAGTTTTTATGGGCTGGGTAATTTCATAGGCTAAAGAGTGGGAGGATTATTCCAATTATTTTGGGGAAGGGGTGGAGGTGTCCAGGAATTGGGCCACTGCCCACTTTTTTGGTCCTTTGATGGTGACTTGGAACAGTCATGGCACCTCTGGGTATGTCATTCAGCTTTGCTTATTGAGTGAGGATCAAGGTCTGGTCGATGTTGACTTGTCTACCATCTTAGATTCATTTGATTCTAATTGTTTTATGTTGTGTTCTTGGGATATGTTATTCTTTCAGAAGTTGTGCCCTGCCCTCTTCCCTCCTGTTTCAAGAGGTTTTGGTGAGATGTGTAGAATGTGACCCTGCAGGGGGTCAGCTGCCCCTGCAGTCTGAAGTCATGAAGGACAAAGAACAAAGAGACTCAAGGTTGAAAGTCCATTTGGGGCTCTTCTCCTGGGTCCTGAAGTGGAGCCAGAAGCTGCAGTGGCCAGTGGAATTGGGCAGCCCAAGAGGAGATAGGCCTGGGGTCTTTGGAACCCAGAAACTCTTATTCCAGTGGCGATGGCACAATGCAGTGTTCAGCTTCTACACTGCTGAGATGATTCTCTGAAAGAGGAGGCCTTGGAACGTTTGATTTTATGATCTGTGTGCTATTGTAGCTAAATCCTTTGATGCTGTTGGAGGTTTTGGTGTACTGTTGCTCCTGTTGACAAGTTAGAACTCTACCTTCTATTGTCATGAAATGCTCTGCAGATCTCTGTCTTGGTCATGGGCATTCCATTTGTTAAGTGGTGCAAGAGAGAGTCCTGCAACATACTTACTCCAGCTGCTGGTAGCAGTAATTCTGGAAGAAGCCTTGGTGGTTTGTGTAAGTTGGTTGGGGGAGACAGTGAGGAAGGGGACAGAAAGTCTCATTCTGTATAAGATCTCTTGTGCATGCTAAGTCACTTCAGTCATGTCCAGCTCTTGGTGACCCTATGGACTGTAGTCCACCAGGCTCCTCTGTCCTTGGAATTCTCTAGGCAAGACTACTAAAGTGGGTTGCCACGATCTCCTCGAGGGAATCTTCATGAGGCGGGGATCAAACTGGCATCTCTTATGTCTCTTGCATTGGCAGGTGTATTCTTTACCTCTAGTGCCACCTGGGAAGCCCATGAACTCTTATTGGCTCCCAATGACTTTGTTTAGGTAATGAGTTGTCAATCTGGCAGCATGTTGTTCCTTCTGAAAACCAGAGAGCTTGCTATAGTTTAAGGAAAATTACCTGATACCTTGCAGTCAGTGGTTTGTTACAGTGGAACAATGGTATGAGATGTTTTATTGGTTATTGTTTAATTCCTTTATCTTTATTAAAACCAAAAGTTACCTGAAAGTAGCACAACACTGTAAATCAATTATACCCCAATAAAAATTAAAACAATAAAACCAAGAGTTAAAAATGATGCTAAAAATCTGACTATCTGGATAGAATTGGAAATTTTGAGTTTATATTTGCTTGTATGGCACTTAACTTTTGCAATGTCTCAGTATTAATAAGAGGAGAGCAGTTCTAATACAGTTTTGATGGAAAGGATAATGCTTTGCATTTTCTTATGCCAGTGGCCATAAATACTCTACTTTTTCAGTGTATCAAATATCGTAGGTGCTGGGATTGAATATCCCAGGAATGTGAATGTTTCATGTGAAGTAAACATATAAGAGTGTGTTCCTAGCGTCATGAGAAGTTCTATTCTATGAATTACAAACAGCATCTTGTCACATCCCAGCCGTGCTCCTATTTGTCAGTACTGGTCAGCACACAGGACTTGTGCACTACTTACCTGACAGGCTAAACACCTGAAGCAAATACACTCTTTGCTCTGTGGCAGGGACCTAGTTAATCCAAAAAGGCAGTGATATATTTCATCAAGGTGTTCTTTTTCATTCACATGATCTCTCCTGACTTTCTTACAACAAACCAAGAATTTCCCTTTTGTCCTCCCTGTCTTTATGTAAAAAGGTGTAACAGTGTCAAAGGAGGGAAAGAATTAGTGCTTATGTCCTCTGGAGAAAATGCGCTTTACTGGTGGGCTTCTGGAATAACTTTTTTTCCCTCGTTCAATTATTCTAAATTCCTCCTGGCACCAAAACTGCATGATAATTAAGACATTCTGTGATGTGAGGCTTCTAGCTCTCTCAGCACTGCCACACCTGGTCTGATTTTGAGCAGGATCTGGGGGCTCTGAGTCTCAGATTGTTGATGATTATACAGCTTAGGTCCTGGAGTCACCCATACCAAAGACAGTGGAAACCTCTAGACCCTGAGCTCCCTTGGGGTCATCAGGCCATCGAGTCTGCAGTCCCAAATGCTCTTGGTCCAGCAGAATCACTTGGGATGCTTGGAAAGTGCAGGTGTCCAGGCAGAGCCCCAGAGGTTCTGATTCAAGCTATCCTGAGCGGGTGCCCAAGTATGGACCTATTTTAGAAGCTTTTATGTGATTTTAATGTACATCCAGGGTTGAGAACCAGAAACAGTCTTTTCATTTTAAAGAAGAAGGTATTAGGAAGAAGAGAGAGGTCACTTGGTGGAAGTTACAGAGTCGTAGTCTATTAACTTTTCTATCACATGAAAATAGTAAAAAACAAAGAAGCTGATATTTATTGAGTGTGTTCTATACATTAGGCACTAACAAGGCAGATATGAGGTAGATATCCATATGTGCTACATTCTACAGATGAGGATGCTGAGGGAACTGCCCAAGGCCCTCCAACAAGCAGGTGGTGGATCTGTGATTTGAGTCCAGGCAACTGGACTCCTCAGCTTGTGCTCTTAATCTTTTAATCACTTTGCTGTTCTGGAGCCAACTCTGAGAATGTAAGGTGTTGAACGGCAGCTGCTTCCCTGTTTCAGCATCAGGGGTCTTGTGGCAGCTGGCCTTGGTGTTCTGAGTCCCATTAATTGGTCTGCTGCTTGACTAGAGATTGGGTTCTTGCATTCTTTATTTTCTGAATAAGTGGGCCAGTTGGAGGCAACCCATTCTCTTAGGGACTGTTCCAGTGTATTCCATTTTCCCCAATAACTGTTTCTTTTATTCTGTCTTTCTTTTGCAGACCAATATAATATTTTCTGTCTTAACTTCGGACACATAGTTTTACCTTTCCGTGGAAATTCTAACCGCAGACTTTACTTTCTTGTTCAG